GTATGAGAGTATGCCAAATCCTCACAATTATTCAGAAAAAAAACCAAAAATTGAGATAAAAGGTAGTAGTTGCAAAAACTATAGTGATGAAATAGAGTAGAGTACTTGACTCAGTTCAAGTACTGTAGTAGGTACTTTTTCTTCTTTTTCTTTAACTTTTCTTTTTTTATTGTTTAAGAATGAATAACATATTTTTTTAGAAAACCTCAATAGCTACTCCTTGCCAAAGCTAAGTCTTATACTTTATACTACTTATATCTACTCATAAACTAGTACCAAACTAGTTTAAGCATATCTCATGTTGTTTTTTCTATTGAGATTACTATGTATTTCTTAAAAATATTAGCTACGTTAAAGTTTTTTAAATAATAAAAGTTTTGCTTCACATATAGTTTAAGTAAATATATTATATATTATATATGAATAGTAAAGTATATACAAATATAATTTTGAATACTAAAGGTTTAATAATCTTAGTGTAGTAGTTAGATTATCAGACTACCATATAAGAGATCTGGAGTTCAAATTCTACTATCAATGAATTTGAATAATTACTCTGATTTCTGTACACAACTTATAGTAAACTTTGTTCATTTCTAGAGTTATAACTCTGTAAATTATATTGCACTAATATTATTCAGATATTAGAAGTATGACGTGATATAACATTGTATGAATAAATCTTAATCTTAATAGAATCTACAGACAGAGGATCTATATGGTAAAAATTCTGAGTTAGTTAAAGTAGTATGAATTTCGATAGTCAATTCAATTTATACTTAATCAAATAGAGAAGTTTATATACATATATTATAGATCAACAGGTGCGAGTAAGTCTGTTTGACATGCAAAAAGACTAGTAATACTAACTTGACTTAGTATCTAACTAGATTTAGAAGGATCTGCTTCATGAAATATTTTGAAAACCTCAAAGAACTAAATTAGTAGAAAGCTATAGAAGGTACTAGATTTATATGAATATTAACAAAGGTCTAATCTAAGTAAAACTCATAAAATAGGTATAGGATATTCTAGTAGATTTGCTTACAAAGTTAACTGGCTTTGCAGATACTCACAATATATTAAATATAATGTATTCTCAAGAGAATCTAAGCTGGCAGTAGATGATCTGTAACAAGTTAGCTAGCTTAAGTAGTTAGGTATTGCAATAATATTAATTTGAGATTGTATATAATACTATATTGAACAAAGTATTTAAACAAGTAACTTACAAGCAGATTACAGATATAGCAGCTTATGTAAAACTACTCAGATAGTCTAATGTTTGTATAGCAGACTACTTAAATAGACAATAACTAAAGTTATATATATGACTAATTGTATACTCTTCATATAATGATAATAGCAGGAATTACTCATATTGTGATTCTATATCTGAAATTAATAAAATACTTCTGGCAAAGTAAGCTCTCTTTAAACAGAAAAAAAAATAATAATTTTGAATACTATTCAATATATAAAAACTTTTAATACAAAAGAATATAATAAAATATTTTAAATTATTAATGTTTAAATAAATATATTTTGTAATCTAGTAATTAAAATAAATTAATTTTTATATAATTAAATAACTCTTTCTGACAATTTTTTTTTCAAAAATTTGAAAAAGTAAAAAAACAAAAATTTATTAAAGAAAATAAAGAAGTTTTTTTTACAATACAATAGTTCTTATAGAGGTTAACTAGGCTTACTATTAGAGACTTCTTTGTATATTTAATATGCAAGCTAAAAGTGATATTATACAAGATAACTAATAGGTAAAGAAAGTCTTTGTATAAAAAATTTTAGTAAAAAGACATAAAGAGTTTTTTGTTAATGAAGTTAGTAAAAAAAGTCTTAAAAAAGATAACAATAAATTATTTTGTCTACACACTCTTTTGAACTTAGAAAACAAGAACTTATTACAAGCTTTTTCTCTTTGATCTTCTATTTTTCTTAACAAAAGTGAGAAATCTAAGTTCTTCTCTACAAAATATTAGTATTGTTTACTCTTTCTATTTTTAAAAATATTTTGTAGATATATGATCTTATATAGTAAACAAAGTCATATACTTTGTTTATTATTTAGTTTATTATGTGATCTTAGTATTACAGATTCTAGATTTTAAGAATAGATTATATGTAGAAAGAAAATTATTCAAGATAGGTTATAAGTTATATAACTTAAAATTTTTAAGCCTAACTCAGATTACAAAGTATTTAGTTACATTTTTTTTAGTTGCTTTATATATTCTGTTTTTTTTATTATATTACTATATAACAAAGTTTTTATGACTTAGAGCAAGTTTTTCTTTGTTAGTAAGCTTAATGCTTTTAAATTAATAACAATTTTTATTTTTTCTATTTTAAGACAAGATATTAACTACTTATAACTTAGTATTAACTAGATTAAAAAGGACTTAGAATCTTGATAAGGTCTAAAGTTATCTTTGTTGATCTAAGGATTATATCTTCTTTAAGAAGAGTTACTACAAATAAAAAAATAACTTTTGCAGTAGATCATATCTGAGTACTATTTGGTAGCTGAGTAAGTTCAAAATTGCAGTAAGAAGAGATATAGTTATAGATTAGTTTTAAGATTTATATATTTTGTATTTTATATGTATTTTATAATATTTTATCTAATAAATAACAGACAAGATCACTTAAGTTAGAAAAAAAAAATTTTTTTATATAATTAAATTCATCTTAATAAAATAAATTAAATACATATTATAAAAATTAATTTATTTTAAACTCTTTTGCTATAAGGATTTCTATATATAATAGCAGATAAACTAATATTACAAGAAGATAAAGTAAGTAGATTTAATGATATTAGTATAGTAATTAGGTTATTAGATTACTATGCAAGAGGTCTAAGGTTCAAATCTTACTGTTGATAATTTTTTTTTTACAGTTTAAAGAGAGAGTTCTATGTCCTGATATTTATTTATTTAAGACTTACAACCTATACTTAGATAGGAGGATACTACATTTTGCATATCAATAAAGTCACAATTAGCTACACGTACAATTTTAGTCATTGTCTATTTAAAGGTTCTACTCGAAGGTTACCTACTAACTGCCATACCTAAGATCCGCTTGTGGATCCCCTAATTAAGCTCTCTGATTTTCAATACTTTTTCTGTAATACCAACTTAAATATATGGCATATTTAGAACTATAGGCTACTTTATCTATGAACTAGGCCTCTACTTCAGAATATTCTATGCCCATTTCATAGTCTATTTAGGGATTTGTACCCTTGTCGATGTTCGTACGAACCCAGTTTCTACTGTGGCTCTCTACCAATAGTCCTTCAAATGTTTTATAAGGAGATCCTCCCAAATCCAGTTAGCCACCAAGCCAGGTTGGTGTTGCTATTTTTCTCTATGAAACAGACTTACTCGTATCTACTCGATCTGCATTTTCATACTCTTACTGTTGATAATTATCTGAATCTTTGTATTCAACTTATAGTAAACCTTGTTTGTTTTTGGAATTGTAACTCTGTAAATCTTATTGTACTAATATCATTTAGATATTGGGAGTATGATATAACATTGCATGAATAAATCTTAAAAGGATCTATAAGCAGAAGATCTTCATAGTAAAAATTCTGAGTTGATGATATAATATAGCTTTTAATAGTTATATCAGCTAATACTTAATCTAAATAAAAACTATCACTCAAAAGATATAAATCAAGTTAGATACAAGTAAATTCATTCCACAAAGAAAATCAACAATACTAACTTGGTATGGTAGCTAACTGAATTTGAGAAGATCTATCTTATGAAATATTCAGAGAAATTAGCAAACAATATCAGTAGAAAGCTATAGTAGGAACTGGAATTATATAAATATTGCAAAGGTCTAAGCTAGATGAATTTATGAAATAAATACAGACTACTCTAGTAGATATACTTATAAGGTTAACTAAAACTTTGCATGCTTACAATATACTAAGTGATACATATCCTAAGAGAACCTAAGCTAAGTTAGGTAAATGAATTTGTAACAAGCTAACTAGCTTAAGCAGTTAAGTATTATAATAATATTAGTTGATTCTAATATAGGTTAGTTGAACAGAGTATTTAAATAGATAACTCATAAGCAGGTTACAGATTATGATAGCTTGTGTAGAACCAAACAGGTGATCTACTTACTTAAATTAGACAATGACTAAAGTTATATATATGGCAGGTTATATACTCTTTATATAATTACAAACTATAAGGAATTGTTAATAAATAACCTTATATACCAACTAATAAAATTTACTTAGCAACATAAACTGCCTTAATAACAAAAAAAAAAAAAAAACAAGATAAAGTAAGAATTTATTTATATAAAGTTGCTAAAAAGTTAAGGATAAGCTTGAAATAGTACATATAACTTGGCCTGTATATTCACTAAACCTTAGTTTTATCAAAAATGTTTGGAAAAAAGTAAAACATTGAATTTATAATAACTGAAAACTACACAATAAATCTGACTTAGAAGAAGCTGTTATTGCAGTATAGAATAATGTTGTATTTGAAACAACTCTCAAGTTTATAGATCGTATAAAGGAGGTAATAAAAAAAAAAAAAAAGGCGTGAAACCCATTAGTAATAATAAACCAAATTTATTGTATCATAGTGATATCGAAGATATTACTATCGGCCTAATTTTAAATCGTAATATCTCGTGTAGTGACAAAATTTGAATTATCTACAATGTTCTCACAAGAACGTCGATATAGTAGATTTTGGAAATTTTATGTTCTCACATAAGTATAAATTTTTATGTTCTCAGAGAACATTAGAAATTTGCACACTGATCTTGTGATCTAGTGATTATAATTTACGATAGCGATAGATATTAATTGTACTACCAATTTAGTAATTCCTAAATTATAAATAACACGACTAGATCAAAATTAAGAAAAACGAGTTTTTTTTTTTTTTTTTTTTTTTTTTTTGTAATTACTTCGGCGACTAATAAGATTTACGATGAGTGGACCAAGGGGCTCTAACGTTGTCTTTGGTAGTTTATACCTTAAAATTATTCTGTAATCATTCAATAGATAAATGCATTTAACTTATATACGGCTTTTACAGTTGGAAATATACCTTATGAGCTTACCGAAGAGCAGTTGACGGAGGTATTCAAAGAAGTTGGACCGGTTGTATCTTTTCGGTTTGTGGTTTATAAATTTTTGACGTGATCTGTTAAATTCGAATATTTCAATTAAAAAACTACCAATCTTTCTTGTATAAAGCCTTGTATTTGATAGAGACAGTGGAAGGCCTAGAGGATATGGGTTTTGCGAATATCACGGTATATATACTTGTATTCAACGATTATTATTATTTATTTTATTTCAACTCCTTACATTTTTAATCATATCTAATTTAAAGATGCCGAAACCGCTGCAAGCGCAGTACGTAACCTCAATAACGTAGAGGTTGGTGGAAGACAGCTAAGGGTTGATTATGCTGACGGAGATCCCGCAATTGCCTCTTCGATTCCACCATCCGAAAGATTAAATACAGAAAGACAACCACCGCCTTCTCAGCCACAACCACAACCGATTGTTCCACCAAATACACCACATCAATCTGCAATCGAAAGTATATCACAAACAGTCCAACATTCAATGACTCAGGCTCAACTTCTTGAAATTTTATCAACAATGAAGGTATTTGATATTATTTTTTAAACAAATTTTAGCGAATAATATTAATGAATCTATCTTAATTATTTGATTCACTAATCTCATTAAAAGCTACTCATCCAAACTCATCAAGATCAGGCTCGGTTACTATTAGCACAGAATCCTCAACTTTCATATGCGTTATTTCAAGCAATGTTACAACAGAACTTAGTCGATCCAGCAATATTACCGGTTCATAATTTATTTTTTTGCCTTTTTCCTTTGTAAATTTTGGAATTTCTACTTATGATCCCTAAATAAATCCATAGCGCGTATTACAACATAGCAATCCTCAGGCACAGTCTCAACCTAATCCTGTACAACATCCACCCTCGCTTGTTCCTCCGCCAAATTATGTTCCACCTAATGTGCCTAATGCAGCCGCAGTGCCACCACAACTTCAACCAGCTATGTATTCTACGATTCCTCAACAACCTCAACCGATGATTCAGCAACCTATAACACAAACTATGCAGCAACCAATAACACAGACCATGCAGCAGCCTATAACACAAAATATGCAACAACCAATAACGCAAAATATGCAACCTCCTATAGGAATGCCAGTAATGAATGCCGGAATGATGCCTGTTATAGGGAACGTTGGCGTTACCCCCGCTACATCTGTAGCCGGAATCGTTGGAAATATTAGTAAATATTAGTTTTAAGTAATGTGATGAATTAATTTTTGAATTTATCATTATTAAATTCCATTTATTTAATTGTTTTGCATATTTTTAGATGATTTGCAAATTCAAGAAGCTCAAAAATCGGTCTGTATTAAACTAAATATTTAATTATTTATAAATAACATATATGTGCTAATATATAATTTATTATTTAGCAACTTTTGCTTCAAGTTCTTAATCTTCCGCAACAACAAATTGATATGTTGCCACCAGACCAACGTAATCATGTTTTAGCTTTGGTGGGTATTAATTCTCAGATAATTTTATTCATTATTTAAAAAACTACATAACCTTTTATTTATCTTCACATTAGAAACAACAACTTCTACTCCAAACTAGGCAGACGTAAGTGGAATAATGGGTAGTGAGGATTAACGTTGCAATAGATAATAGATTTTGTAATTTTTTTAAAAAAAACTTTGTAATTTTATACAATAATTTATTTATTTATTTAACAAGGTTTGCTAATTATTGGTTATTCACCTGAAAGTTGGTGTCAAGATTTATTAAGTTCCTTTATTGTATAATGGTATATCAGTTAAGCACCAAAATTCTCGAAATCAACTAAATTGATTCAAGAAGTGTCATACATAAAATAATGTTACAACTCAAGTTCCGTCGACTCGACAAAGATTGCAATGTATAAAATAAATTGCAGTAAACATTTTGTTTTTTGAAGGTAATTATTATACATGGGATTTTTGATAAATGACGATCATGTGTAATAGCGTAATATCACATTATTTGTTTCCTGTTACAATACCCGGGATCTCGATTTAAAGAACATATTTTTATACAACTGTCAAAGCCAAAATTACCTATGCATGCACCAGAAATTATTCGTTTCCATTTCTTCAACTACTCGACCAATTGTACTGTAATAAAAATTGAATACTATATTTTGAATATAAATTATTAAAAATGAATATAGTTATATCCCGGTTATCTAATTATTATGTCAGATGGTGATAATACTCGGGTCTTGATCTTGGTATATTTTTAGGGTAGTTGAAATGAGTTTTATATCATGTAATCTTAAATATATTGCTTAATATCTGCTGTTTAGACTTGTATACACTTAAAAGCACTGACTTTCAAAACTTTTAATAAATAACATAAAAGCCAAATTTCAAAACGTACAAGAAAGAATATGTACAATTGTAATATATTTCAAAAAAAGTATAGAAATTTTCTATTTTCTTGAAGAACTATCACGTGAGGGTGACCTTGCTGCAGATCGTTTTCTGCGATTTGAATAACGTTCCTTCGGCGAAGTTGATCTAGAGCGTGATCTAAATAGGATATTATCAGCGAATTAATTTTTACGAATCAATAAAATAAAGTGACAAAAGATTGTATTATATATACCTTTGTCGCTGATAGCGACGTTCATGTGAACTTGCACGATTTGACGAGTGACGACGAGACGAACGATAAGAAGATGTGGAACTCCCAGAACTTGATGAACTGGAGCGTGTTCTAGATCGACTACTTGAAGAAGTATATGAAGTTGAACGGGAGCGGCGACGTCGTCTTTTACTTGTTCTTATCGAATCGACGGAAGACGAACGATCTCGACGATATCTAAAAGTATAAATATAATCAACACCTGTAATTGATAATATGGGCTAGGTGCCGCAAAAAGGGACCAAATTGACAATTTTTTCAAACCCTTTTTTTTTGAGCAGGAATATTTTTCACTTAGGAAACAAATACTATTATCTTAATAAAATTTTGCTGTATAACTCTTTAAAGTTTGCATTTTCTTATGATTTATTATAAGATTTATAACATAAAAATTGATTTTTCGAAGATCTTTTTTTTTTTTGTCAATTTCGTCCCTTTTTGCAGCACCTAGCCCATATGAAGGAAAAAAAAAAAAAAAAGCTAATGTATTTAACCTTGTTCGTGATGATTTAGATTTCACGCTAGTTTTACGATAATGTTCACGTGATACAGATCTGAAACAATTATATTATATTAAAAATTCAAATTCTTATTCGTGATCAACGAGATCAATTATAACAAGTAAACAAACCTCTTAACCTTTTTACCGACAGATTTAATTAATTGCTTTTCAATTTCCTCACTTCCCAAACGCTCAAATTTTTGCTCACGTTCCTTCTGAATTTTCTTTTTCTCATCCACTTGAATTTGCTTGTTCAAACCCATTTGAAGTTTCAAACGTAATTTTTCAGCAGGTGTTAGCTTTTTTGGAGGAACCTTGATATTGGTATTAATAAGTGCTTTTTGGCTGGATAATGTTTCAGTTTTCCTTCAGTATTAATCAATAATGGATATAAATGAAAATAAGTCAATAATTTAATCATTAACCAATTTTCCTACAACAAGGTATGTTATAAGGAGAATGTTCTTATTTCAGCAAAATCTGTCGTAGATATTCGTGATTTTCTTCACATCGCTAAAGTTTCTTGGAGATCGGATCCACCATAGTGTGGAAAAAGAAACTTCACCAACCGTGTATATGACAATGATCCTCTTTGCAATTGTACTAGAGATAGTTCCTCCTTATGTAATCCATGGGGTCGAGTGGAACTTGATTCTGATGCATCTTCTTCGGGATTACCAAATTCTATCACAAAATTCCCAACTTCTTGTTCGTCTGAAAAGCTCGTTGATGAATCACTAGAGAAATAAATAATGACTATATTAAACTACATATATAATAACACAGGCTAAGGCAAGAACATTTGAGATTACTCACGAATCTGTGTAAGGTTCATATGTAGGAGAATCTCTAATTGAATAAGATCTAAAAGAAATTTAGCGTTTTATAGGAGTAAAATTAAATACCGATCAATTAAAGAATATATTATACCGGCTTTGCACATGAGATCTTTCATTATGTTCTTCTTTTCGTGATATGTGACGCCGCGATTTTCGTTCTTTGATCTTTTAAGAAAATTGTCAATATATATGTTCAACTACATTACTTATAATCCATAATTTTATTTATATCACCTTCTGACTTTCTTTAAGCTCTTGTGCCTTTTCTTCTCTATCACGTTTTGCGATGCGTAATAATCTAGTATAATCTGGAATTTGATATTTTTTTCCCATGATATTTAATGTCTGCCGGTCTTTATCAGTTAAATCGTCCACATAATCTAAAATATCTTCCTGTGGAAAAGTGAGTCAAAGTAAACATAGTAGAAAAAAACTGGCTAACTATAATAAATTAATTTCGTTCAACATATAACGAATGGATATCATCAAGGTGATGGGACTCTTCATCACTAGGAATTTCATCTTGTTTCTCTGTTCCGTAATCATATCCAAAGCCTTGATTATTTGTGTCAGGTTTTCTTAAGAAAAATAATACTGTATGAATGACAGAATCATTTTATACTATATTTGTAATCGATAATAATAAATACTCTTGTAGTTTCTTGATCATTATTTTATGTCTTTCCAATAGACTAGTCCATTCTGCCTCAATTTCTTCAAGACAACAATCTTCTGGAACTAATTCAAAAAATTGCAAATTATATATATAGAAAAAAAAAAAAAAAAAAAAGAATTACAACAGATAATTAAATTTTGACTATCTAACCATTACGACGTTCATTTTCTACTAAGTCACGAAATCTTTCAAAGTTAAGTTCTTCTTGCAAATCCCTTTCATCTGTGGGAAGAATAGACAGGTTTGGATTATCCGGTGGCAGGTAATCTAAAAGCGCACGCCCATCAAATCTAGAATCGCGTTTATCGACATTAAATTTTAGCTTAAAATTTGAAATTTAAAAAGCTTTCCTACAATATACTAAACTAACCTATCAATTCTCGTTTCAGCATCTCCTTGCCATTGCATTCTAATCAATGAGGTATTTATTAGATTAAATAGAATATCTTTATTAAATTAACAGGGAATGTCAAAAGTACAAAAGGGTGACTACTAAAAAAAAATAATGCCTAATATGAAAACATTAGTATTTGATAATGCACTAAATTCGGAAGAAACTCTAGCCTACAGGGACTTTTCGGAATTTTCATAGAAATAGTGTTGTTCTGCGTTAGGAAAAAGTTTAGTTGCTGTACCAGTAAGGCGAAGTAGTTGGCTAGGATCACCAAGCTGAATTGATAAATAGATAAATTGAATTAGAAATCTTTGTAGAAGGACGGATTTGAATTTTGAGAACGTACGCGAGATTCGTAATATGCTCTTCTTCGTTCTGCTCTCTTTTTATGATCCACCATTAACTCTTTGATCTATTATAAAAAAAAACTATGATAAGATGTAAAGTTTTCAAAAATATCTAAATATTTGTACCTTTTTTTCTTGTTGCCTCGCTGCATGCCACATCTTTGTTCAAGTATTATTAGGTTTTAAAGCAACTTTAGCTTAAAAGTTTAGTTATCGTTATCGTTATGAACTAATTGATCTACCAAAACTTCAAAATTTTGGTCATAACCGACAAATTATATAACCCAGCCGGCAAAAAGTATTTTCGTGTGTAATTTCACGTGTTTGACTGTTACTGGACTCGGAGACAGTGTAAAAATTCATTAGTCAACTCTGGATATAACGAACCTCTCTATAGTGATGGATATAATGAACTCAAAATTTTAATAATAAATTCAGTATAAAAAGGGCTACGTAATGCTTTTAATAAAACATAATAACTTCTGTATAACGAACTCTTTTTTTTTTATCCAGAATAAGCAGTTCGTTATAGTAAAGATGATTGTACGTACGTATTTAATTTTCGTGTACACTACTAAAAAATAGAAATAATATCTATACGTAATAATAAAATAGCGCATACGTATTAAATTTTATCAGATACTATAGATAGTATTATTTAATTACAACTTATCTATTACGTATCAAAATTGAATTGCTGTATACCTAATACGTACTATTTTAAGTTACCTAATCAATTTTGGTTAGTAACGGTAATTTGATAACTTGCTCAAAAATTATGTTCATCTAATTAAAATTTTTTAATATATCAGATATATGTAAAAAAATTTTAATATAAAGTTTTATGTTGAAGAACCAAAAAATTAACATTGTATGGCCTTATTATATAGCAGGTAGTTATTTACCGATAGTAACAACACTAACTCTAATATCTAATATAATGCTAACTTTAACCTTAAATTTAAATATTTATTTTCTTAAAAATAGAATATCACACCTATAAGATATTTTTAGTTAGTAATTTTCTAAACTAAAATATCTCAAATAATAATTATTATAACTAGCAATTATGTAAGAATAGTTTTTTAAAATGTTAAATAAATCTAAAATTTAAGGTTAAAGTTAGCATTATATTAGATA